GGAAAAAAAAAAAAAAAAAAAAAAAAAAAAAAAAGAACATATTTCTAACAAAAAATCTAACACACATTTTTATTTCAAAAACAATTTTGCAAGTTTCTCTGGAGCATAATGAAAAAGAAAAGAAGTCCAACCTGTTGTACAAATTCCAAAGGCACTGGTGTGGCTTGTGTAAATGCTTCTAGATGAATGCCATGCACAGGATCTTCAACTACTAAACAACCAATGTCAAACCATCTGCAAAGGAATATATAAGTTTCAAATGTTTATATTGATAAACAGAAGTTATAGTAAATAGACAAAAAGCAAAAACAACTATTATTATTCAGATAAAACATTAGCAGATTTCAAAAAGGAAATGTTTTTCTAATCAATTTGTAAGAGGATAATCCATAAAAATAACAGATAAAATTACTCTGTTGGCTTAATTCCAAGTGGAGAAAAAGAATGGGGAATAACAACAAAGAAAAAATAATTTTAAATTACTTTTCATGAAAAGTTTCCTTTCTTAGGGAAAATAATGTAAACTGGGGTACTCAAATCTGCAACAGATACATTTACATTCATTTGAACATGCAAATAGTTTATCATGAGTAATATTTTCTAAGTGTCACTTGCTAATATATGGAAAATTTTATATTCCCAACTCTATCATTAATATGTAGTGAACTAGCAAAGTTACTAACAAATTTAAAAATAAGTTCATTCAGAGGAAATAAATAAAAACAAATACTATCCTCATTACTGATAAGTCCTTCTAATCATTTTCTGAATTGTTCACAATGAGTCAGCCTTTAAAGACAGTTTTGTGAAATGAAGGAAACTTTCTTCCATTTAAAGACACATAATTTATTAAAAATGATACATTTTAAGACTGACTGAAGTGAAGACAACTGAAGCACCACCAGAATTTTAGCTAACCAGAATCATGAAATAACCAGATGGCCTGAAATCAAGAATTTAAACAATAAGAGAATAGGGAACAAGAAAATGTTCGATGTCTTGATTTTTAAAAAATATGTAAATCTAACAAAGTTCAAAGAAATGTAAAATGGATTAGGAGACTTATTTACATATTCAAAGAAGCAACAATGTAAAATACACAGTAACATGCACAACTTTGCTGAACATTAAAATGGCAGATTGTAATGTCTACAGCATTCATATCCTAAAACTGTTTCAAATCAAGAACATTAAATAATTTATTTTATTTGGTGTCCTTATCAATATTTCATATTTTGTTATGACAACTTTCTCAGTCAAGATAACCTATTTGTGAAGACTCCATAAAGCCAAGCTTAGCTAAATTTTACTTTGCATTATTTTCCATGATATGTGTACTGTCTACAGTGAACAATGTACTGACTAAGCTGTCAAGTGTCGATGTCCTGAAAAGCAAGAGTTACTAAAGGTTGTGAGTAGTAGAGTTTCTTCTATGATGCCAGTGAATACACATTAAAACTCCAAGGTTCCCTTTGTTCTGTGAAATACTACTGTGCTATTGAACATTTCAACCTGGATATCAGCTATCCCATTCTCTTCAACTCAATAAATCTAAAACTGCAATCACTGCCATCCCTACCAATACGTTTTCCATTTGTCACTAGCGCTGTTGGCTAAGGAAACTTTCAGTTCTCCTCCCCCTCCTTCCTACTGTCCTTCACCTGCACCCACCTCCCCTGCCCACCACCTCAGAGGAGGAAGAGTGGTAATCTGGACTAACTAAAGGACAGTCACTGAAGATCCCAATCTCTGTCCCTCTTCATGTAGCTGGTAAAATAAGATAGACTTGACCAATCCTATTTGGAAGCCAATTTGACTTGAAAAGGCCTTAAGAGGAATTGTGGTTCCAAGACATTTAGATTTCATATAGCAGAAAAAATTTCACAATAGAATCTGGGGAATTTATACAGGTGTGCCAATTTCTATTTTACCAAAGACATTCCATCTATTTTCACCAATCAATTCACAAAAGAAAGGATGTTTGAAACACATCTTAAGGATATATTAACATATTTAACATATAATCCAAAATTTTAACACCAAAAACTAGATAGGTTAAACTCAGAATAAGGACAGTCCATGCTTACACTAGCATTTTTCCATATATGGTATACATCATGCTAATTTTTCTCATTTAGCATGAACTGATAAAAAGTTCATCACAGACAGCAGTTGAAAAATACTAGGTCTATACTAGCTCTATTCTTTCTTAAGGGCCAAACACATTTGGGATTTCTTTTTGTGGGCTTGCTCTTCCTGCTTGCCTCAGTTGTAATCAGTTGCCTCATTTCCTTGATTTTATCTTCCGTGCATTTACTTCTCACAGGAGCACTGCAGAGAGAAGTGGCCAAAGCAGGAAATACCAAGTGTTTGGGATCCTGGGTTTACTATCTGTTGTACTGTCCTGGCTCTCTCCACACTCTGTACCTTACTATCATAACCTTTCTATCCACTCTCCTCCACAATCCATACTAGAAACCATTCCAATACTATTAACTATTTCTAACCTTTGTAGTATGCTACTCTTCTGCTTGAAAGGTATTTGATGGGAAAAATACCAAATCTATGTATGATGGAAGAGTTTATGGCAGGTCAATGCTCCCAGTCAAAAGCTAAATGAGTTAAACAAATAATATATTTAAAGGCATCAAAAAGTTATAGCAGTGAGGGCAAAAAGGACAGAGAACCTTTAAAGGTAAAGGAATGGTAAAGGAAGCTGACCCTGACCCCCACCCAGGCTTGACTCAGCTCAGACTGACTAAAGTACACCATACTAGCCCTCCCTAACACCCCCAAAACTCCACTTATTAGAACAAAGAGTGAATCTTCTCAAGATCACCTGAAGACTCTAGAGTTTTTTATAAACAACTTCTGGCTTTCAAAGATTCCTAGGCATTCAGAGAGACAGCACCATACCATCAAACCAAAAGGAAGAGGACTAAAACTGACCCACAAGTGACTCAGATACTGGAATTCATAGACAAGGATGTTAAAATAACTATGACGCACATAATAAAAAAAAAAGGGTTAAAATAGTCTAAACAGATGAAAAGATGTAGATATTCAACAGATAAATAGAACCTACTAAAAAAGAAGTAAGAATTAAATATATGGGTTTAGCAGCAGGCTGGATACAACAAAAGGCAGGAATAGTAAACCTGAAGACAGGTGAATAAAAAATGTCCAAACTGAGGAACAGAGAGGAAAAACAGAGTGGGGGGAACAAAAGACAAAGTGGGAAATGTGAGATACTGTCAAAAGGTGAATAAGCATATTATTAGAGCCCTGCAAACAGAAGAGAGAGAAAATGGGCCATAAGCTATTTTTGGAGATAGAATGGCTAAGAATTTTCCAAAACTGATGAAAGACATCAATCCACAGAATCAAGAAGGTTAGTGAATTCCCAAGAAATTAATTGTAAAAGAAAGCAAGCAAACAAAACAAACATATCTAGGCATACCATAGTAAAACTGCAAAAATAAAATGACAGAGAAAAATCCTAAAAGCAGCCAAAGAAAATAACTTCTTATCATCACAGAAACAATAGTAAGACAAACAGCTAACTTATTAATAGAAGTGACAGGTGCCAGAAAACAATACAATGACATTTTTAAAGTGCTGAAAGAAAAGAATCGCCAACTTAGACTTGTGCATCTAAAAGCACTTTCAGACAAACAAAAGCTGAGAGAATTCAGTGAGCTGTCTTGTGTTACAATGTAGTATCAAAGGAAGTTCCGTAGGCAGTAGGAAAATGATTCCAAACAGAAAAACAAAATTACAGGAAAAAATTCAAAGTGTAAACATAAACAATACTGACTGCATAAAACAACACTGGTAATGTCTTAGGAGTTTAAAATATATGCAGAATTAAGATACTTGACAATAATACTGCAAAAAGTGAAAAGGAGTGAATAACATTAAAAGTGGTTCCAGTATTATAAGTCATTCGTTTTTACTATAATATATCAAAAAGGCACACTGTAATCTCTATGGCAATCATTAAATGAATAGTAAAATGTTAATGGAGGGAAAATGAAGTAATAATAACCACTGGATGGTTCCTTGGTGCTCATATAGAAAGCTCAAACTTCTCAACCTGGAATTCAAATCTCTTCACAATGTCCCCACACTACATCTTGATTTCCTATCCAACAAACCTTCAGCCAAGGTGAAACAATCACTGACTCCATATTACACTTTAATTACCTTCAAACTTTTTCTCCACCCAGAATGTCCTACCTACTTTTTTCTACTTATCCAAGTTTTACCTTCTCTTCAAAATCTAGTTCAAGCCCTAACCATACAGGAATTTCATCTGATACTACCTCTGCACAGAGTTACCGCCACTGGAATTTTATATAACATTTCCTGCCAGCAAAAAAATATATACCATTTTATATAATTATTTAAAACTGTTCATCTGTGCATGTATCTTCTCCCCCAGTTGGCCTATAATATGCCCTCAAAGTTGGAGGACATTTTTTGCCTACTATATAGCCACAAAGTGCTAGAAATCGTGTTATTCAATGCTGAATAAACAAACAAAAAAATAAGGAAAGGAAAAAAACAAACAATAAAACCACAATTACATTTACAAAAGAAGGTAGATTTCAACAATGGGAAATTATTTTAATATAAATCATTTCAACATATAAAAAAATTTTCCCACAAAAAAGCCATCTATTAAAAAACAGAGCCCCCCAAAACAACGATAAATTATGCTAGAAACTCAAACCTAGTTACTACCATCAGGCCTTCTTGCCTATACCTTCCATTATTTTGAGTAATGGCATGAATGGCTGTTTCCTATCCATGGGCGATTGTACCCAAGCCAATATCCCACTGTACCATCTTAAATTTAGTGTATTACATTAAGTGATTATTAACACAAACTGACTTCAGCATTACTTTCTCCATTTCATAATTTAAAAAGAGAAACAAGAATAGAAACGTCAGCTAAGCTATAAAGGGCACAGAGCTAAATAAGTGATACAGCCCACATCTGAACATACTTTTCTCTCTGGTTCTAAATAGGAGACACTTTTTGCTCGGTGTCCAGTGTGAACCCCCAGACCCAATTACATTTTGCTTCTAAAAGAAGCACCATAAGCCTCTTACTTGTCAGGCAGCAATTCTGCGATGAAGTTTTCTACTGACACAGCAGTCTGTTTTTCATGGATCACTCCAGTTCGACGCAAGATATCTATCCGCTCCTGGGCACCCTAAACAACAATGAAAGCATTTCAAATTATTTAATACTAAGTATATTAATTTATGATCATTCAAGTAATACACGTATACATTTAAACACAAAGACATATACACTCACTATAAATGTTCAAACAATACAAAAGTATATAGAGTAAAAAATGAAAAGTCCCATCGCATTCTCTCAGTATTAATAGCATGGGGTACACCTTCCAAATTACTCCCATATGCATTATTATGTTGGTTGCTATTATGAAATGGATTATTTTTATATTACATTTTCTAATTGGTTATTACTAATATAAGCAATACTATGTATTTTTTAATGTTGATCTGGCAAGAACCCATCATACTGAATAAAAGTATTTTAGTCCTGGTAGTTTTTAGTTGATTTTCTCTTGAGGTTTTTAGGTAGGCGACCATATCAGTAGTAAATGTTTTTTCTCTTTTTTCTGATTCCCTTTAAATATATGTGCACCAAAATGACCAGCTATTTAAAATAAAAAGCTACAAATATATACATTACACCAAGTTTTATTCAATATAATTATTACCATTTATGAAGCAAAACATAGGGGCTGAGAACACTGTACAGATAACTCAAAATTAAATCAAATATATATCTATAGTAGGGAACCAAAAGCCAAATTAGTAAGAATAAGGTTGCTGTTTACTACTTTTATTTGAATCATTTCATAAACAGTGACCATGAATTATATGATGAAGATGTGTTCAAAAGGCAAGATAAAAAAATCTTTCTTTTTCTGAACAAAACTAGCCATGGATAATATATCTATTTTTATTATGGACAGAGCTAAATAGAGAATATGAGATTAAGTGGGTCAATTCTTATTCAAATGAAAACTAAGAAGACTAGAACATTTCTAGGGACAACTGAAATAAAGAGGACGTGACAACTATATGAGAACGGGTAAAACAATTTAAGATATTAGCTTGTAAAGATGAAGGATAAAAAATGATATGATTTCAGCTACATCAAACTCAACACTGTCTGTTTTTGCTCACTGTCATATCTCTAGTGTCTAACACTGTGCCTAACCTAACAGACATTCCTTAAGAACTTACTATATGAAAAACTAAACAAAGGCTTCTAAAGGCCTCTGTGGTAAATGTTAATAACATAAAGAGTGTAAATATAGCATCACCAAATCTAATAACATGAAATGAGGAGGCAGCTGTTGATTTTGAATGAAATATGACAGATAAGATGAACTTAATTCTTTATAACTGGATATTGTAAATCTGCCTTATGGCCAAATTTTTATTAAAAAGAAGCTTAAATAAATGTTAATTCAAGAAAAACTATTAGGGGATTAGTGGGATGTTTATAAATTCATCCCTAAACTCTTTGAAGGTGATATCTCACCTATGCACTACAACAAAATATTCCCAGGTTTTAAGCTTCCAGGGAACAGACACTAAGTTTGTTCTATTTTTACTAGCCTACAGCACAGGTCTTTATACTTCATAGGATTTATAAAATATTTGGTTAAAATTAATTAGTACCTACAAGAGATAGGATAATGAGCTAGGTAGAGAAGTTTAATTATTTTTTGTTTATGAAATACAGAAGAGAAAATGAAGATGGATTATATCTGGCCTCTTGTTCCTCTGAGGACCTGCTTAATTAAATGTGGCCTCTTTTAGAGTCACAAACATAGACATTTTAATATTAGAACCTACCAATGTTTTGAGAATATAATTTTATTTTTTAGCAATGTGGGGGATCAAGAATTAAGTAGTTTAGAGGACATACTGAAATAATCATCTCAGAACTAAGGTACGATACAGAAAGGTCCCTAGAGCTTATACTGTTCTCTAAGAGATTATATTAAGCAACTTGGTTCAGATGAATAATTAAAATTTTATACATCTTCATAAATACTCGTATATATTAACTACATCTTTCTTGAACATAAGCTATAAAACAGTAATTATGACTAGGACTGGATTTCAATAAAATTAATACTTGGCACAGGAGAAGTTTCAGAAGCTTCCTAACTTTAATTCTGGATAAACTGATTTATTTCCTTAAATAATTTCATATGTTTAAAGAACAACTTAAGTTTAGTTTAGAAAATTCATTTACTCTAATAAAATCTGATGGGGAGGAAAAAAACAGTTAAATTTTTTTATATTTTAAGATTCTACTTTATTTTTCTCCTCACTAGCGCCCTCTACTGTTTCTGGAAAAGAAAAATTGACAAATTTACAAATCAGTTTCCTATATATAGTTTCAATGAATTTTTGTTTTGCGCTTGTATTAAACATTATGGGGAAAGAATGAATATGTCTAAATTTGAAGGGCAAAAATCAATAGCAAAAATAAACCTGTCAAATACTAAGAAAATCACATGATAAATCAAATTACCAATAATATCTATCAAATAAGGTTCTTAAAAATTTTATTTTCATTGTACACGTTTATGAGGTATAGTTTGTCATTTCAATACACAACATATACTGTAAAATCATCTAATCAGAATAGTTAGCAATCTGTCACCTAAACATTTAACATTTCTTTGTAGTTATAACATTCAAGATCTCTTTTCTGGCTACCTTGAAATACACAATACAACAGTATTAGCTATGGTCACCCTAGTGCACCAGAACTTCTTCTTCCTATCTAACTGTAACTTAGTCTTTTTGTACCAGTCTACCAACATTTCCCCGGCCCCTCCTCCCCCTTCCCTGCCTCTGATATTCTATTCACTATTCTACTATTCTTTTTTTTCCTCTCTTTTTAATTTACAGTAAAGTAATTCATGAGGAAAAAAATCCCCATCAGGCTTTCAAGTTCAATACCTACTGATTTTAAACATTTTCTGTATAATGATATTGATGTAATAAAACATTTGATGCCCATGTTTTAAAAATCACAATGAAAAAGGAGGAGTTAGTCACCTAAATTCATTTTCATTTGTTCTGATAAAACGTTGTAAACTCTTCCCTTCTCTGCATACTTAATATAAATGCCATCTTTTTACATACGTTATGTATTTGCCCCTTCCTTCATGCTCCCAATGACAAACTCATCCTTCAGGACTTGGTCATATTTCTCAATCGTTAAAACATCGGCATTAACAGACTCTGTTGCTCTAACTGCCAGTCTTCACCACATTTGCTCAAATTCTCACCCTGAAACCCAAAGCCATACTCTCTAATTGCCTAATGTAACAATTTTAAGTTCTAACCCTCAGATCTAAATATCTGTTACTAGAGAATTAAATGAATACATTCCCCTGCCATCGTTTTTAAAAAGGAATACCAGAACCAACCTCCATATGATGTTTATATAACACTTCACAATTTACAGAAAGCCCTTGCTTTAGTCTCTAATTTCAAAGAAATGTACTCACCATTTTCTTTGTCTAGTCGCCAATTTCTATCTTAGGATTTCCTTCAGGTTACCACCTAAAACTAAATCATGAAAAGTCCTCCCCATATCTATAAGCTCTTTCCAATTTGCAAAAGCACTCCTGAAATCTTGAAAGTACAATCTCAGTCTGGGTATGTGACTTTTCCTAGTCGTTCAAATAAAAATTACCAATATAAATGCTTATAATTTACCTTATGTATAACTGATTTAATGCATGTGATGGTTAATTTAGGTGTCAGCTTGACTAGATTAAGGAATACCTAGAAACCTCATATAGCACTTTGGGGGCTGTATCTATGAGGGTGTTTCCAGAAGAGATTAGCATGGGGGACTGAGTAAACAAGGTGGGAAAGACTCACCCTCAAAATGGGCAGGAACTATCCAATCCACTGGAGGCCTACAGAGGACAAAAATAGAGGAAAAGGCAAATCTCTTGCTCTACCTGTTGGAGCTGGAATACATTTCTTCTCTCCTGTCAGTAGAATTCAAGACTCTTTCTCCAGCCTTTGGGGGTTCCAGGACTTATGCCAGCAGCACCCCCGGCTCTCAGGCTTTTGGCCTCAGACTTAAGAATCACACCATTTGCTTCCCTGGTTCTGAAGCTTCCAGACTTGGACTGAGTCAGGCTACCAGCATCCAGTTTGCAGATGGCCTATCATGGGACCCCTCAACCTTCACAATCACATGAGCCAATTTCCCTAATAAATCCTATCTCATATATTTATATACATATTCTATTGGTTCTGTCTCTCTGGAGAACCCTAATACAATGTGCAATTATTGTGTGTACATGTTTATTTTACCCATTTACCATACTTTTTAAAAAATTTCTAGATTAGATTGAATCAAACCTTAAAGCCATCAGTTAGCTTTGCTATATTTTATAAAGACCAAACCCCTGCTATCATAGAAAGCCCTACTGGAAATGCATACCAGGACTCAAATTCAAGGGAAACCCACCAGAGAGTAGAAACATTTCAAAGAACATGTGCTTTGGGCAGCATTGTTGTGTGGGTAAGGATAGACCACTGTGAAAGTGAAAAGGCAGGAAACATATAATTTGATTCCTATTATATATATTACATTTGGATATAGCATAACTTTTGCATGACAGTCCCAAATTCAGAAAAGTGGTTTTGGGGTGCATGTGCGTGCGTGTGTGTGTGTCTGTGTGTGTAAAGAAAAAGAGCTTTATATTCTATTTAAATAAAGTACTAAATATAGTTGAAAAGCACCTCAAATTTATATAGCATTATCTAGATGAATTAAAAATAATCTAATATCAATGTGGATTTATGTTTAGTGACTAACTATAATCAATACAACAGACTTCTTCCCCAATGAAATACACTATGTCGGTCATCTCATTCTAATGCTTTATAGGTATTAAATACATGAATACAGCTAAAACGTCTATGTGCCTGGCTCAGAGGATGCTCTCAATAAACGAAAGACATTATGAGCTCCTTTATACAAAATAACAATGTCATATATCAGAATGCATTTCTTGTTAAATATAAATACAGTTGATCCTCCTTATTTGTAGATTCTGTTCTTGTGACCAGCTACTCATTAAAATTTGTTTGTAACTTCAAAATCAGACATGCACAGAGCTACAAGAAATTTGAGTTGCTTGATGCACACATTTGCAGCTGAGGTCGAACAAAGCAGTGCTCTGCCTTCTTGTTTCAGCTCACAGACTGTAAACAAGCATCCTTTTTGTGATCTATTTACTGCCACTTTTTTGCATTTTGCATTTTTGTGCTCCCAAATTTAATGCTGAAGTGTTATTTTTTGTTCCTCAGCACAGGAAGGCTGTGATGTGTCTTAAGGAGAAAATATACATGTTAAATAAGCTTCATTTAAGCATGAATTATAGTGCCATTCGCCAAGAGTTCAATATTAATAAAAATATATATATATGTATATAAAGATGTATATAAACAGAAACTGACGCAAAACAAAGTTATGTATTGATAGGTTGGCAGAACGTTGTGCTCAGAGGCCCACAGGGACTAAACTCTGTACTTTTCTCAGGAGCAGTGGTTCAGCGTTCACTAACTGCATCCGTGGCACCTTACAAAACAGAACTACAGGGAAAAATGAGAACTGTCTGTTGTGCAAACGAAATGTATTGATAGATTAGAAATGTGTAAGGAGAGAAGTTAGGGATGATTCCAAGGTTTCTCACCTGAGAAAATGGACAGCCAGAACAGCCATCAATTGAGATGAAAAAGGCTGTGGGGGAGCAGGTTTGGAGGAAAGCAAAGCAGTCTAGTTCTAGACATATTACGTCTGAGATATTCAAGTACAGTTGCCAAAAAGCCAACTTTTATATGTCAAGAGTTTATGAGAGGTCTCAGCTGGAGATACAAGTTGGAAACTGTCAGCACATAAATGGCATTGAAAGCTATAGGTTGGCATGAGGTTACCAAGGGAGTGAATGGACAAGAAAATGGGACTATCAGGAGGGTGGCGAGACAAGGAGGAACCAGCAAAGGAAGCACGGAAGATACAACCAACCAGTGAAGTAGGAAAAAACCAAAAGTGTGGTATCCCGGAAATCAAGTAAAAAAGCATGGAAGAAGACTGCTTGATCAAGTGTCTCAAAAGCTGCTGACCAGTCAAATAAGATGGACAACGCTGGTGACTTGGAGGGTACTCTCAGTGGAGGGGTGGGAGGGAGAGTCTCACAGGGGTGAGTTTAAGAGAAGGCAAAAAGAAGAATTAGAGAACAGTGCTGGCAGCTCTTGGGGGAGTTCTGCTGCAAAAAGAAGCAACGTAAGGTAGTAGATGACAGGGAAAGTGAGGCCAAAGAATTTGCTGGGGTTTCCTTTGATTTATTTTTGTTTTTTAAGGTAGGAGAGATGTTGGTAGGCCAATAAGCTGTTCATCTGTTCTTGCATTATTGTATGCTGGTAACAATATAATAGAACAGGGAAAGTGAGGCCAAAGAATTTGCTGGGGTTTCCTTTGATTTATTTTTGTTTTTTAAGGTAGGAGAGATGTTTGTAGGCCAATAAGCTGTTCATCTGTTCTTGCATTATTGTATGCTGGTAACAATATAATAGAAAGCATTTCACACAAATGAAAGAGAGGGCAAAATTTCTAGAACTACAATATGTTACATATTATTAACAATGATAATAAAAAGCTTATGAGTTTCAAAGGATATTATAATTTCAGTAATTGATTTGAATGTTAGTACTGGGTTAAGATCTCTTTTAGCAATAACTACTCTTTTTGTGCTCTCTGAATATGTTTCTTTCCCTCTCTTAATAATCAAAACCTATCTTAGATTTCTTTAAATCAAAACTCCACCATATCTTCATCTTACTACAGAGTTGTCTACCTAAAAGCAAAGCTGATCATTATTACAGTATGTAAAAACCCATTAGCTCCATATAGACTACAGGATTATTATTAGAATTATGAAAAAATTAACTGCCTGTTTCCACATCCTGAAAAAGGTGTTCTATTACTCACTTTTAATCCAGCTGCATAGCCCACTGGCTGTGGGGCAATACTGGACTGTCCAGCTTCCCCTACAACCACAGCTAAGCCAAAGACCTCCTGGAAGGCATCCCGGACAGCAGCAATTTTTACTTCTTTATTTGAGGTTACTACAATATCCAGTTCACCTCCAGATTCTAAAAAGATCAAAAGAAAATTTCAATTCCAAATTAAAATAAAGAAATTCTCATAATTACTACCATACCATGTGCTAACATTTTATTTACATAATTATTACCAACCTTATAAAACCATGCAAAATACAGATCATCTTCTTTCTTATATAGTTGTGGAAACTGAGGCTGAAAAAGTCTAGCTCAACGACTTAGTGCTAACATCAGGACTCAAACCTAGGTCTGTCAGACTCTAAAACCCTCCTTTCCCACATCTTCTGATATAACCAGACACATTTTCACCCTCTAATCTAACAACATTTTATTCCAACACATGCTTAGCCTTGTACTACCAACATTTCCTGAGTTTTAAAAATGGGAATTTAATGCATTATCTGAGGGAGTTTAATTTGCAAGTAGAAGATGGTACGTACATACCTTCTAATGGCTCTGAGTATCGGATCTGAGTATAATTACAGCACACATTTTTCTATATTCTGTGAAATATTGTTCTAGAATGTATTAGTGGCTGTGCCTGAAAATAGTATTTCTGACATCAAATAACTTTGGGAGATGCTACACACCATATTTCTTTCTTGAAAATTCATATGGCACATATCAACATCTCAACAATTCTGAGAAGTTAAAAATCATGACTTAACCCAGTACTTTCCACACTTAACCTGTTCATGGAATACTTTTTCAGCTTCTAATAATGGCACCTACAAAATGTTCTATACATACCAATTTGGAAAACGATGATATAGCACATATGTAACAGCTTATTTGTCTACTATACCCCTCTATTAGCCGTGTTTCTTTTTCTAATTAGTTAACATTGGATAGACACATTTATTGCATTTTTAAAGTTGCAAATCAAAATGGATTTTCTGCTGTTGGTTAATAAAAATAGACATAAAGTTTTCATTATATGCAAACTTCTAGCACCTTGTGAATGCCAGTTTCAGTCCTTCAGCTATGGAGCAATCATAGAAAGTAAATTTCTGGCTTGTGAAGTATAATATGTTACACATCTGTGATAATCTATTTACAGAAATGAAAATGAAGACTCTTACTGATGGTAAGTAATTTGTCAAGTTGTACAGAAGTTATGCACTAAACAAGGACTTCCATGAAATATACTTTTTATATAGAAATTAGTTTAAATGTGGGGGTCACCAAGCTTTTTTATTATACATCCCCATCACTTAAAAAAATACCAGAAATAAATTATTTATATTTTATAATAATACTGAAATAACATGTATAAAACTTGAAATGTTAAAAGGTTAAGATTAATAAAGTATCTGCAAACATTTTTAATTTTTCAATGACTTAAAAAACATGTACACTATTATTTCTAGACAGAACAATTTGACCAAAATGTTTCAGTATTTTTAAAAATCTTAGCTTAACATTTTGTGATACACTGAATTCAAAAGCCTGGTTCTAAGCACAGCATGCTTTGATACTTGGAATTAATGGCTATCACTGGTAGAAGAGATTTCTCATGAAGGCTATTCGTAATGTAAAACTTTTTGTCCCAGAAACTAGGCTGTTTTTCCCTGATAAACCATGTGGAACAGTTGAAGATATTTTCCAAATATTTGTGTTCTTTTAATCATGGATCCCTTTTCCCGATTGACATAATGTTCCACAGATCACATCTTTATTGAGAATTTCAGAAGTTACTAGACCCTACAGGCAATCAGTCACATAGGAGAGAAGAGGAAGAATATATATTTTTCTCAATTTTCCCCCATGTAGGACATATCTCTTAACCCTAGTTATGTACTGCTCTACTAAGCTTCAGCTCAAAAAACCTTTTCAATTTGTGATGAGTAGTCCTGCCTTTAATGATAATGAAGGGAGAATTAAAAGAATGTAGAAATTAGGGGCCGGCCAGGTGGCACACTGCTACAGTGCGCCGCTTGGGAGTGCGGTGGCACTCCCGCCGAGGGTTAGGATCCCACGTACAGACCGGTTCCCGTTCACTGGCTGAGCGAGGTACGGGCGCAACACCGAGGGCTGCAATCCCGTTGCCGGTCCCTGTCCGGTACGGGCGCGACACTGAGGGTTGCGATCCGTTGCCGGACACGAAAAAAGACGAAAAGAAAAAAAAAAAAAAGAATGTAGAAATTAAACTGTTAAAATCCATTTCTAATAGTTCTCGTGCTTTCTTGATGCATTTGAAATTGTTACATCAAGTGATTTCTAGAATAGTTGTATAAAAATGCCATAAATTTTACTGTGATCAGAATGGTGTTACTTTTGCTGTCAGTAAAGTGTCAGCTTTTTCACACTCAGTTTTAATCCTTTTTAAAGCTAACTTATTAAGGTTATATGCTTATGATGTTCGCTAGTAATAGAAATTTCATTTCTGTAATCTTTATTTTTCCCCCCTTCGTTTTAAGCCTTTTTCTTGATGTGGAGACTACTGGCTTGAGAAACTGTCCTGGGTTTGAGTACTGGCTTTGTCACTTACTAGCTTCGTTAAATTAGGGAAGTTAACTGAGCTTGTTTTTTGTAGAAAAATACCTGCCACCTCATATGGCTTGTTCTAAGGATTAAATGAGATAATTGCTTTCATATTCTAACACAGTACAGCCATTAGAACAGCAAGAGCTCCAAAAAATATTAATTCCTTTCCTTCCTTCATTCAAAATACAAACTTGTGAAGAAAAGAATACATGTGAATTTAGTATGGCAAACTTGACTATTATGAATATATGAAATCAGTATGAATGGTGTAGTCCAACACAAGGAACACTTCAGCTGATTTAATTCTTGATTCAATTTTCTTTTTTTTTTTTTTTAAAAAGATGACCGGTAAGGGGATCTTAACTCTTGACTTGGTATTGTCATCACCACGCTCAGCCAGTGAGCAAACCGGCCATCCCTTTATGGGATCCGAACCCGGGGCCTTGGTGTTATCAGCACCGCACTCTACCGAGTGAGCCATGGGCCGGCCCTCTTGATTCAACTTTCTACTTCAAGGGTAGCAAAATAGCTAAGCATAAAAAAAAAAATCAGACATGTTCAATCTAGCTATACCAAGCTGTGGTGACCTAGGACAATAACATACATCTCTCTGAATCCAGGTTTCCCATCCAAAACTTGAGAAAAATAATATCTACTTTGCAGAGCATTTGTGCGAATTAATGCCTGGCAGAACATGCATTCTATAAATGGTACTTAATCACTGCTAGATCTTATCCTTTGACATTAACTATGCAGTAAACTACCAACACAGTCAAAACTCGTAAAAGCTATTGGCTTTTTATCGCCACTGAAAATCTCTGTTCATATACCTTCTGCACAACTTTGGCTTGTAAATTATCTTCTATGGGATTACTAATAATTTGTCACTGATCCTGGTAAGCAATGATGTTTTTTGACCCATCAGATATGTACATAAAAAACTATATTAACAGAAAGTATCTCTATGTCAACTGTCTGGAGGATTCTTGGTGATGAGGGTTCAAAGGTGGCTGAAACAGCTTTCCCCAAAAACCTAGCAATCCAATATTATTAATAACTAGATTAACTTCTTCTAAACATATTATTCCTGAATTACACATAAACACAATTTATTAAAATAGATAACTGGAGAAATGTAAAAACCAAGTAGGAACAAAGTATCACCTCAGATGTCAGCAGTGAATAAAGTAAAATGCATACAAAGCTATGCCAATTTACAATTAAAATCAGTAAGTATACTAATAATTCATATTGTTTTCCCTTCTCCGAAGTACATTCTGTGGATTTTTCAAAATTTATTTAATGGTGACTAAAAGAAGATGAATTAGTAACACCAAAAACTAAAATTGAGAATCAATTTAATGCAAGAATATAAGAGAAATTTTCACTGATTACATGACCAGTGGAAATGAACTAAGAATTACAATTAGTGGCTGACGACACACACTTTAAAAAAATATGGCAGATACTGGTCTAACTTATGTACATACTGATATATGGAGCCATGCCAGGATCCAGCGTTGTAATCATGCTTTCTACTGAATGTTTTGTCTTATCTAGCACAGATTTCACCATAGGATTCCCAGCCACACCCTGCATAAAACAAATTAACATATAAATACTCATGCCAAGCAAAGAAAATCATGATCTTTATGACTGTGAAGGAAGTTTTTTTAAAGTTTCCAATAGATCACAGACCAGTACTTTTATAAAATATAAGAAAAACAAGGTCATGACAACATCAAATTGCTATTGTCTAAGTGGTTCTCTCAATTTATCTTCCTATCACATCACAAATTCATATCAATGGGCAACCTAGCAGCAGTACGCAGACCACACTTTGAGTCATACTGGCCTGGAAAGCATGATATACTACATATATTTATATGTGTATGTGCGTGTGTGTATATATATTTATCTCATTTATGAATATATATATATTTCACTTCTATTTATTTATTTACATACAAGATTAGGCAAAACTAGTCCTTCAGAGTCCCAAATAAGACTGTAATCTTTACAGAGATTTTACAGAGACTGTAATGTTTACAGAGGTCCATACTTTGTTCCTTAATTAAAAAAAATAAAAATAATAAAAATACCTCTCATCTTTACTCCCCAGAACAGTTACTTATTACCTTAATACGTAACATTTTGCTATGGTCTATTAAAGTTTCTTCTTTTTCTTCCTGTTTTTTGTTTTGTTCATTCCCAAACCCTCTTTTTAGCCAGACCTATTCCTTTGGATTCTTGGAACTGCACTATTAGACAGGAGAAACCAAGTCTAACTGCTTCCATCTTGTGCTACACTTCTCACAAGGTAAAAGGCACTCGCGAGAACAGGGCCTCCTGAGGTGGTATCTGACTAACAGGCCATGATTCTCCCTCTTCTAACCAACCATAAACAGGTGATGCAGGGAAAGATGTGTTCATAACACTAAAATTTAGGGCTGTCGACCAACTTTATGCTGAATACTGCCAGAGTTGCTACTATTTACAAGCCCTGTAGAGTTGAACTGGGTATTATAACTGGTAACTGACCCACTGACACATGCTCTCAATAAGGGAGAGAAAAAGTTACAGTCCCTATACAAACACAACTTCTTACAATTACAGAGGAATATAAAAAAGCAAGTTTAGAAAAATGCCATATTCCTGAAACAAGAAGCTCACAAATCCCATAAATCAGTTAACTACCCACCAATTAAAAAATATGCTTAATACATACAATGAAATTGCAAACAAACCCTCAGCAGAATACTGGGGAGAAACTTGGCAAAATGATTCCAAAATTAATGGAGAAAAATAAACGGGAAAGACCAGCAAAGAAAATTTTTGAAGAAAAGAGACATCAGAAAATTTATACAACCAAATACTGATACGCACCTTGATGAACGCAAAGACCTAACTGCTCTTTCTATCTTGGTCATCACTGAATGCTCTCCACCCTCACCTCAGCACAGGGCAGGCTTTCAATACATGTCAGTAAATAAATGGACATATGATAATAAACGATAATTAAAACAGTGTGCTATTATTGCAAGGCAGGCAGGGAGCAGAGATTGGAATAGAATACAGAGCCCAGAAACTGACTTTAACACATAATTTAGTAACTAAGATAAAAGTGACATATCAAATCAGTGCGATATGATGTCAAAACAGTATATTAAGTTCAAAGAAATTCAAGTTTGACCTCTACCTCATATAATAAAGTAAATATCAGCTATATTAAACTGTTAAGTATAAAAAAATGAAACCACAAAAGAGCTAGAAAAAATCATAGAAAAACACTTATCATATCCTGTGACAGGAAAAGGTCTTTTTTAGCATAAAAACAAACAAAAAAGTTTGAAAAGAAAAAGAGAACGATAAAAATGACTTCTGAAAATTTACGAACTTCTGTGTCAAAAAAAATTAAAATATAAACTAAAAACAGAGAAAACTGCAACATATTCTTACTATGATAAGAACTTTATGAATTCATTGAGAAGAAAATCAACCAATTTAAAACTGGGCAAAGAACACGAAAAAAGAATTCACAAAAGAAAAGTAGAAGTGGCTAAAAAATCACATGAAAAATGTTCAAATTCAAGAGAAAAAAACATGCAAGCTATTTTATAAAACGAGATATTATTTTTTGACTACCAAATCAGAAAATATTGTATTTAAAATTAATAATCACGCTGGCAAGTGAAAAATGCTGGAACAGTGTATTTTGGTATAATCTTCCTAGAGAGCAATACGTATTGATAATTTTTTAAATGTTCACTCAGACATTCATCAGGTATTAACCTTACGAAACAGAGATGCCCATAAAGATTTACATACAAGAGTGCTTCACAGTTTTACGGATGAGAATTAAAATTAGAAGAGCTCTATTGTACAACATGGTGACTATTGGTAATAACAATGTATTATATTCTTGAAAATCACTAAGAAAATAGATTTTAAGTTTTCTCACCACAATAAATGATCCACGTGAGATAATGCATACATCAATTAGGGAATTTAGCCACTCACAATGTATACATATTCCAAAACATCGAGTTTTACATAATAAATATATACAAATTTTATTCATCAATTAAAATAATTATTTTTAAAAAGAATTATAATTAGAAAACACCCAAACAGGTTGAGTATCCCTTATCCTAAATGCTTGGAACCAGAAGTGTTTCAGATTTCAGATCTTTTCAGATTCTGGAATATTTATATTACACTTACCAGTTCAGCATCTCTACTCCAAAAATCCAAAATCCAAAAGATCCAAAATCCAAAAATCTAAGTGACATGTCAGTACTCAAAATCAGGTCAGTGCTCAAAAACTTTCGAATTTTGGAGCATTTCGGATTTCAGATTTTCAGATTAAGGATATCAACCTGTAGCAGATTAGCAAAATAAAACATAAGAAATAAATGCAACAGCATGTATGGCAAAGCAGCCTTTAAAAAAAAAAAAACATTTGTGAAGAACATTTCATGGCTGTGAAGATATTCATGATATATGCTAGGTAAAGACAAACAAAAAACACAAAATAGTGTCCATGTCACTACTCCAATTTGATTTCTATCAGAAGAATAGGTACATCTACGTACATATGCATAGTCAAAAGACTGAGAGCAACTACAGAAAACTTATGCCATCTCATATTTTCAAAATTTTCTCTAATGAACATCTACTAGTTTTATAACTAGAAAATTAAATAATTTTTAGAGTAAATACTCCTTACCTTAATAAAACCCCAGATTCCACCAGCAGATGCTTCATCCTGACCTCTATGAATTCTAGGATCTTCTTGTTCCTCTGGGAAAGTAATGGCTGATGTGGTTCCAGTTCCCTGTGCCAGAGATGTCAAACTGGCTTGCTGAGTAATAGGAGGTGGCATAATACCTAGTTAATGGCAAAAATTTTAATATGTGTAATTTATTCCATTAACTTTTTCCATAAAAAGACACAACATATGAGATAGGTAGCTCAAAACAGCTTTAATAATGTAACTACATACTCAGGCATTTTGAGATTGAGTTATGAACTCAAAGAATAACCCAAACCTTTATAAAATGAAATGAGACAGAATTCCAAAAAAGAAATTTCTTTCCTTTTACATAAGCTTACACCAAATGTCCTGTAAATGGACAAATAATATATATCAAAAAGTTCTTTATATTTGTTCTGTTTAGCATGTGGATGTGGACAGCTATTGTTCTGATCTCTTTAATACGTAAAAATAATTGAGCACTCAAGTCCATCATATAAAAGCATGTAACAATTACTGTTATCACTTTAACTTAAAAAGAAAATTCACATATATATACATATGGGTATAGTATGTGTACTCAGCAATAAATTTTATTTGTAAAGGTAGACAAGTAGGGGCTGGCCCGTGGCTCACTCGGTAGAGTGTGGTGCTGATAACACCAAGGCCACAGGTTTGGATCCCATATAGGGATGGCCGGTTAGCTCACTGGGTGAGCATGGTGCTGACAACACCAAGTCAAGGGTTAAGATCCCCTTACTGGTCATCTTTTTGTAATGTCATAAGTTGAACCAACAGAAAATCCTGATATAGGAGGACCCGAAGAGGGTGCAGATAAAAGAGCACTAGGGGCGGAAGGGGAAGTTGAAAAGTTGGGTAAAGGAGGACTACTGAAGGCAACAGGCGTTGACTGAGAAACAGGAGGTGGTAAAGTAGTTACAAGTGGTGGAACAGAAGGAACTGGTGAAGGAGACACAAAAGGTAACGATGCCGAAGGCCCCACAGGAGGAAGGGACGGCAGAGGAGTAGAACACACATGCGGCGGCAAGGACTCCACCGAGGACACATTTGGAGAAGAAAAAGAACTGGTTGCAGCTAGAAAAAAGTGAAGAGGATAAAAACATGGTGATGCTTATTATTTCATTTTCAAACTCTTATTACTTTCTTCTTGCAAAATTTTTAAATTTAACAGACCATATTCCAAGATCTACTTTAAAACGTGTAAGTTAAAATATACAATATATATTACCGAGTGCAAATGACTTTCAGTGCTCATTAAGTCAAAGTAGCTATGTCAACAAAATGAAGAGACAACCTACAGAATAGGAGAAAATGTTTGCAAACTACACCAGACAAGGGGCTAATACCCAAAATAGATAAGGGAACTTAAACAACTAACAGCAAAAAAAACAAATAACCTAAAAAATGGACAAAGGACCTGAACAGACAATTCTCAAAAGAAGACAGAAACAGCCAACAGGCACGTGAAAAAAACACTCAACATCAACAATCATTAGGGAAATGAAAATTAAAACCACAATGAGATATTATCTCACTCCAGTTAGAATGGCCATTATCAAAACAAAAAATAACAAATGCTGGCGAGGATGTGAAAAAAAGGAACTGTCCTACATTGCTGGTGGGAGTATAAATTGGTACAGCCACTGTGGAAAACAGGTTCTTCAGAGAACTGAAAACAGATCTACCTTACAACCCAACTCTCCCCCTACTGGGTATGCACCCAAAGGAAATGTTATCAATATATCAAAAAGACAACTGCACTCCCATGTTCATCACAGCACTATTCACAATAGCCAAGAGATGGAATCAACCTAAAAGTCCATCAACAGGGCTGGCCAGTTAGCTCAGTTGGTGAGAGCACAGCACTACAACACCAAGGTTGAGAGTTTGGATCCCCATACCAGCCAGCCACCAAAAAAAAAGAAAAAACAAAAATCCATCAATAGATGAATGGATAAAAAAACTGAGGTATACATACACAATGGAATACTACTCAGCTATACAAGAAAAATGTTATCCTATCATTTGCACCAATATGGATGGAATTGGAAACCATCATGTTAAGTGAAGTAAGTCAGGCACAAAAAGACAAATACTACAAGATATCACTTGTATATGGAATAATAAGTGTTTCTCATAGAAGTAGAGAATAGAATAATGGTTTCCAGAGGTGGGGAGGTAGGAGGAGGAAAAGTGGTGGATTAATGGGTACAAAACTATGCTATCTACCCTAAGTAAATCACTGTGCAGTATATGCATGTATTGAAACAACACACTGAACCCCACAAACATGTACAAGTAGATGTTAAAATATTTTGAATAAAAAAAATAGCTATATGAAATTAAATTACAGCATTGCTCATAATCTTGTTTTTTGATTCATTTATTTTGGTGTGTTTATAATAAAATAAAGCCATTTTCCATTCCTAGTTTGAGCATAAAAACCTACACATTGAAGGCTCAAAAAGGCTAATCACCACAAAGTCACAGAACATTAGACAGAGCTAGCACATGTTTTTTAAGACATTTTTGTCATCATAAGAAAGATCATTTATATGAATATAAAGAAAAGCCTCCCTAAAGCAAAACATCAATGTTTTCTTACTTTAAGTGAAAATGACTATTTCTTTCTACTTTTTAAATAAAAAAGGCCATTTCTCTTCATCCTGACAAAGATTAGAGTTCTAATATATCCATTCTTTTTAAATTGACTCTGAGAAAAGATAACAGTATCTTCACTATATCCAAAACACAGTAGACGTTAGACAACTATATACACCTGAAGGAACTGGTGTAGAATTCATAGCAGTAGCAGCCAGTCCTGCAGGATTTGGTGGAGGAGTCCCAGGTGGCGTTGTCTCTATTCCACTCTCTTCCATCATCTTTCTTCTATTATGGTATACTGTAAAAACATAAAAACGTAATAAATGTTACACAGTAACCAAAAGCGTATTTTGAAAGCTTGTTTGAAGAATAATTAAAAGAATAATCATCATGAGACAGATGTCAGCCTTTACTGTTTATAATGCAATTTAATTCCAGGTGAAGAGCTTGTCAAAATTCCTAAAACAATCTATGAGAATATTTAATATGAAAATAATCTGTGACATGTCCATATACATCGTTTATAATTGAGAAATAATTTTATGTTAGCTACTAATTAATTATCCAAAATGTTTTAAATAGTAAATCACTAATTTTATTTCTGCCACATGAATGCATGATAGAGTTATGTCTAAACTTCAGTCACTACATTTAAAATAAAAATAAAATATTTAATGCATTTTTGAAACCCTTCTTCTTCCCTCAGAAGGCATTGTATGTGGGCTATTCGTGTTAACATTAAAAAAATTAAAAGGTGTGTTAGACTTAATAAACACATTAATTCCCAATTTTCCTAGTTTATATTTTAAAGCATACCTGGTAATAGCTAAATGATGTCTCAGATTTTAGAAAAGTTAACTATAGCAAAAATGCCACTAGATAGCAGGGTCCTACCAGATGACAATGGATTATAAAATATGGAAAAACTTCCTTAAAAATTACAAATTTTCATATCCACTTCAAGTATAAAACCAACTTCTAAATATGCCAAATTTGTTTTTGATGTTCTTACGCATTTAACAAATATTCAGTGGAGGTCAACTGCTCGCCAAGCACTATCACTGGGTCCTCTGGATATACAACCGTTAGCGAAAACAAACAGGATACTTACAGTCAACCACAGGAAACAATTAAATAACAATACCAATATGCAATGAACCATAGCCTGAATTATGCGCTCTAAAGGTAAAAAACACAGTTCTGTTTGACAGAATATGATTATGACTTGGAGGTCAGGAAAGGAAGGGTACCCCAAAGTCACAAATAAACTAAGATCTGAAGATAAGCTGAAATTAATTAGGCAAAGGAAAGGAGATAAAGAAGGCAGATTGCAGAAAAAAGTGAATATATAGCAAGTATAAAGGCCCTTTAAGCTAGAGGGAACAAGACACATTCAAGAAAACCCATGTGGCAGGGGACACAAAAGAAGAATGAAAACTGGAGAGATAAGCAGGAGCCCAGATCAAGTAATTTTTTAATTATTTTTTTTAATTAACACATAATAATTGTATATATTTACAGGGTACATAGTAATATTTCAATACACATATACTATGTGTGATGATAAAATCAGGGCAATTAGCATAGCCATCACGACAAACATTTATCATTTCTTTGTGTTGAGAACATTCAAACTCCTCTCCTCTAGCCATTTGAAAATACACAATAAATTATTATTAATTACAGTCACCTTGCACTACTATAGAACACTGAAACTTATTCTTCCTATCTAGCTATAAGTTTGTATCCATTAACCAATCTATCCCTATCCTCCCTCCCCCCCCCACCCTTCCCGGTAGCATATTTAGCTTTTAACTTCATGAAGAAATTTTAAATTTACAAAAGATGCAAAAATAGAGTTCTTGAGTACTCCAAACCCAGCTTCTCTTCATAACAGCATCTTACATAACTATAGTACAACGGTCAAACCCAGGAAATTGACATTTAGCACAATACTATTAACTAAACCACAGACCTTATCTGAATTTCACCCATTTTTACATTCACACGTGTGTGTGTGTGTGTGTGTGTGTGTGTGTATGTGTAGTTCTATGAAGAAGTTTCATCACATGCACAGACTTGTATAACCACCACAATAGGGATACGGCACTGTTCCATCACTCCAAGGAAACACCCTTATGCTACTCCTCTGTCACAACCTCCTACCAACCATAAGCCCTGGCAACCACTGATCTGTTCTCTATTATTTTCTCATTCCATGAATGTTACATAAATAGAATCATATAGCATATAACCTTCTGAGATTGGGTTTTTTTCACACTGCATAATGCTTTTATGATTCGTCCAAGTTGTTACATGTATCAACAGTTGGTTCTGGGCTGGCCCATTAGCTCAATTGTTTAGAGCACTGTGTTGTAACACCAAGGTCAAGGGTTCGAATCCCCTCACAGACAGCCAACCACCCTCCCAAATAAAGCTGGTTCTTTTTTATTGCTTAATAGTACTGCACTGTGTAGATGTACCACAGTTTATTACCTGTTTATTTACCTGTTGAAGGACACTTAGGCTGCTTCCAGTTATTGGTGGTTCATATTTGTGTTTCAAAAAGATTCCTTTGACCCAGGTATGTAGATTGGGTCACTGGGCAGAGAAAGAGTATAGAGATCATTAAAAAGTACTTCAAAAAGGAGGTGATAACAACCTAGATTAGCGATTCTCATAAGGCAGAGGAAGTGATTATGCCTCCCAGGGGTCACTTGGAAATGTCTGGAGCCATTTTTGCTTGTCACAACTAGAGAGGTGCTACTGGCATCTAGCAGGTAGAGGTTAGGGATACTGCTTCAAATCCTTTAGTGCACACCCCACCCACAAGAATTATCTGGCCCCAAATGTCAATAGGGCCAAAGCTGAGAAACCCTAAGGTGATGGTAGTGAAGATGGAGAAGAGTGGGTAGATTCAAGAAATGTTTAGGGCCGGCCCGGTGGCGCACTGGATAAGTGCGCCACTTGGGAAGCGCGGTGGCGCTCCCACCCGAGGGTTTGGATCCCACATACAGACCGGTTCCCGCTCACTGGCTGAGCGAGGCGCGGGAGCAACACTGAGGGTTGCGATCCCGTTGCCGGTCAGCGCCACCGCGCTTCCCAAGTGGCGCACTTATCCAGTGCGCCACCGGGCCGGCCCTAAACATAGCGCCACCGCGCTTCCCAAGTGGCGCACTTATCCAGTGCGCCACCGGGCCGGCCCTAAACATAGCGCCACCGCGCTTCCCAAGTGGCGCACTTATCCAGTGCGCCACCGGGCCGGCCCTAAACATAGCGCCACCGCGCTTCCCAAGTGGCGCACTTATCCAGTGCGCCACCGGGCCGGCCCTAAACATAGCGCCACCGCGCTTCCCAAGTGGCGCACTTATCCAGTGCGCCACCGGGCCGGCCCTAAACATAGCGCCACCGCGCTTCCCAAGTGGCGCACTTATCCAGTGCGCCACCGGGCCGGCCCTAAACATCACTGAGGGTTGCAATCCGTTGCCGGACACGGAAAAAGACAAAAAAAAAAAAAAGAAAGAAATGTTTAGATGGTAAAACTCAGTGACTGACTGGATATGGAGGCAGGGAGGGCAGAGGCCTTACTTGCACAAGTGGATAGAGAGTGGCACTATTCGCCATGATAGGGAAAACACAGAACAGTGCAAGAGGTCAAGGTGTTTGTTTGATATTGTCTTGGTGTGTGTATGGGGGGCGGTTATAAAGTGTTTAGTCTTTGACACGCTAAGTTTAAGCTCCTTGAAACGTCCAAGTAGAGACAGTGACTTGGTCGGAACCTTAGAAACCACATAAATGTGAGTGTCATCAGTGTACTGATGAGATTATCTAAGAAGAGAATACCAAGAGAAAAGAGAATATGACTCAAAACCAATGCTTGGTTTAGTCAGGTAGATGAGTTTGCACAGAATGAGATGAGCAGAAAAATAGGAAGAATACCAGGAGACTGTGGTGTCCAAAGGCCATAGAGTGTTTCAATGTAGGAACTGGCAACAATGTGAAATGCTATAGAAAAGACAAATACTATCTGACAAGTTCAATGGATTTGCCAAACTGAAAATGAATTTAGTGAAAACTGTTTCCATGGAAGGAGTGGGGATAGAAGCCAGTTTGAATTGGACTGAGGAGTGGGAGGTGAGACAAATAAGCAGAAAACTTTCAAAAAGTTTGGCTGTGAATGCAGAGGAAAGAGCTACAGCACTCATTAAAGGACAGGGATCCAGGGAGGCTAACTCCTTTCATTCAGTACCTATACACCAAAGGTAGGTAACCTGAGACAGAAATGCTCCTCCTGGGGATTTTATTATTCCTCACCAATGCTACCTAGTTTCTTCATCTCTTCATTTTTTAATGGATCATTCTTCCTACTACAGATGCCACCTAATCCTTACAATGGCTACAGGGAGTCATACTTAAAGATAATCCTGATCCCTACATTAACAAATGCGTTAGCAAAAGAACTTGTACAATCAATACAAAGCAATAACATGGAATAAGATCAATTTCTCTGTTTTTAAAAGCTTTACTATTTGAGAATCGGTGTAATGGCAATATTGGGGTAAATTTTGCATGTATAAACATAATACCTTCTACTAAAAAAAAACCTATTATAGAACAACAATGAAGCGTCAGAGTTGGTGAAGGTTTTAGGACTCACGTCTTGGTAAAAAAAAGTAGTATTAATGTATCGACATTAAAGAAAAAGTGAAGGAAATGACTTGGAAAATTGAATCCTGTCTCTGGCCAGATCCTGCTGTCCTAATTCGCTTGTGCCTTGGTTTTCTGTTTTAAAACAAACAAACAAAAAAAAGTGGATAGCTATTCTATAAGGATACAAGAAAACAAATGGAATAATGAAGCTTTAGTAAACTTTTAAAGCATTAAAAACAATTATTATTGTTCATGTGCTGGTGCCACATGATTGCCTCTACTACCAGTGAGCCCTAGAGCAGAGTCTGAGTTTTGTCTCTGCATTCTCAGCTATGATCCCCAAATAAACTTCCATAAATGCTCACTGAGTTAAATAGCGGCTGCACAGGAGAAATATCGGAATGTCAAAATAAGTCACGATCGTATAAATGTACATGTTGTTTCTTAAAATAACTACTTCGAATGACAAAAACTCTCTTGCATATAAATTCTGCCATACTAGGAAATCAGCTATCCTGCAAATTTGCCTAAAACAGGTCCCAAGAGCGAACAATGGGTCAAGAGTGCAAAAGTCCTCTGGAGCGGCACTAGGCACCGATGGAGGAGAGAAAATAAGCTTCCTCCCACTGCCCGTCCCCGCTATCGACTCCCGAGTCCCCAGGGCTGGAGCGGCCGAAAACTCCTGTTCCAGGAGACAGCAGCCTCCTCCCAGGTTCTGCCACGTCTCCAGGCCGGACTGGGCTGGGCTGGGCTAAGGTCCGCAGGCACTGGCCGCCGGTCTCTCTCCTGTGACTAGAGCGCTGGAAGGTGGAGCCAGATGACCAGGGGCTCCGGCCTCTGTAAGTACCGGGACGAGACCCCCGAACCTCACCTGCGGTGCAATCCGGGACGGGGACTGCTTGCCTTGCTATGCGCACCCCCGCCCAAAGCACCCCGCCTGCCCCCGCAGCATGCTCCCGCTGCACCCCGCATGCTCCCACAGACTTGGGGGCTCGGAAACGACCCCCGCATCCTGCGGCGCCGGCCCGCTCACGTTCCAAGGACTGTGCCCGTTGGGATCTGGCTTTGGCGCCCGCATCCCATGCCACCTCCCTCACGCACCCGCACCGCCGCCATGCTGATGCTCACCTGGGGTCCCGAGCAAGTGCCTGCGTGGCAGCTGAAAAGTGGGGGGACAGGGAGGCCGGAGTGTAGAACTAAGGCTCAGAGAAGACAAGGAAGATGCAGTCAGCAGCTCAGGTCCGCGCGTCCCCGCCTCCAAGATGGCCACCACCTGCGCATGCCCCTGAGGCTGCCACGTCGGCTCGCATCGCCCCGCCCCGCGCATCGCCCCGCCCCGCGCATCGCCCCGCCCCATATTTGGCTTGCTCTTCTATTCTACTGTCTTAAGGTAGAATGTTGAGTTGTTGGTTTGAGGTCTTTCTTCCTTAATGTAGGTGTTTACAATTATAAATTTCCCTCTAGGCACTGCTTAGTTACATCCCTTAAGTTTTATCTTGTGTCTTCATTTTCATTCATCTCCAAGTATTTCCTAATTTCTCTTGTGATTTCTTCTTTGACCCATTATCTTTTTTTTTTAAGAGTATTTGTACTGTCCAATTCAGTAGTCACACGTGGCTACTTAAATTTAAATTAATTAAATGTAATAAGAATTTTTGTTCTTCAGTCATACTAGCCACATTTCAAGTGCTAATTAGCGAAAAAGCATTTGATAAAATTCAACATCCTTCATGATAGATACTCTCAACAAATTAGGCATAGAAAAGTATCTTAATACAATAAAGGCTATATATGACAAACCCACAGCTAACATCATATTAAACAGGGAAAAGCTGAAAGCTTTCCTACTAAGAACTAGAACAAGACAAGGATGCCCACTATCACAACTTCTCTTACATAGTACTGGAGGTCCTAGCCAGAGCAATTAGGCAAGAGAAAGAAATAAAGAACATCCAGATTGGAAAGGAAGTCAAATTGTCCTTGTTTGTAGATGACATGATTTTATATAGCAAGAAACCTAAAGATGCTACCAAAGAACTTCTAGACCTGATAAATTCAGTAAAGTTGCAGGATACAAAATCAACCTACAGAAATCAGTAGCACTTCTAAACACCAACAACAAACTTGTAGAAAAATAAATCCAGAAAGCTGTCCCTTTTACAATAGCAACAATAAAAATTAATAAAATACCTAGGAATCAATTTAACCAAAGAGATGAAAGATCTCTACAATGAAAACTGTAAAACACTGATTAAGGAAGTTAAAGAAGACACACAAAGAAATGTGAAGACATCCAAGCTTGTGGATCGGAAGAATTAGTATCATCAAATGACCATACTAACTAAAGCAATCTACAGATTCAATGCAGTCCCCATCAAACTACCAAGGACATACTTCACATAAGTAGAGAAAACAATTCAAAAATTTGGATGGAACAACGAGAGACTGCTAATAGCCAAAGCAATACACTCCCTGATTTCAAATATTCTACAAAGCTATAGTAATCAAAAAGCATGATACTGGCACAAAAACAGACATACAGACCAATGGATCAGAATAGAAAATTCAGAACTAAATCCATGTAACTACAGCCAACTGATTTTTGACAAATGAGCCAAGAACATACATTGGGGAAAGGACAGTCTCTTTAATAAATGGTGCTAAGAAAATAGGAGATCCATATACAGAAGAATGAAACTAGACCCCTGTCTTTCACCATACACCAAAATCAACTCAAAATGGATTAAAGAAATATAAGACCCCAAACTATAAAACTTCTAGAAGAAAATATAGGGGAAGCACTTCAGGACATAAGACTGAGCAAAGATGTTATAAATAATACTTCTGAAACACAGGGAACAAAAGCAAAAATTAGCAAATGGGATTATATCAAACTAAAAACCTTCTACACAGCAAAAGAAACAATCAACAGAATGAAAAGATGACATGTGGAATAGGACAAAATATTTGCAAACTATGCATCCATCAAGGGATTAATACCCAGAATGTGCAAAGAACTAAACAACTCAATAGTTAAAAAAAAAAAAAAAAAAGATTTAAAAATGGGCTAAGGAACTGAATACACATTTTTCGAAAAAAGACATACATTGGCCAACAGGTAGGTATGTGACAATAGTTAAAAAAAAAAAAAGATTTAAAAATGGTCTAAGGAACTGAATACACATTTTTCGAAAAAAGACATACATTGGCCAACAGGTAGGTATGTGAAAAAATGCTCAACATCACTAACCATCAGAGAAATGCAAATCAAAACCAAAATGAGATATCATCTAACCCCAGTTAGAATGGCTATTATCAAAAAGACAGAAAATAACAAATGCTGGTGAGGATGCAGAGAACGGGGAGCTCTTACACATTGTTTGTAGGAATATAAATTGGTTCAGCCATTATGGAAAACAGTATGGAGATTTCTCAAACAACTACAGATAGAACCACCGTACAATCCAGCAATACCACTACTGAGTATATTATCCAGAGGAATGGAAATCAACATGTCAAAGGGATATCTGCACTCCAATGTTTATTGTGGCTCTATTCACAATAGCCAAGAGTTGGAACCAACCTAAATGTCCTTCAAAGTATGACTGAATAAGAAAATGTGGTATATATACACAATGGAATACTACTCAGCCATAAAAAGAATGAAATTCTGCCATTTGTAGCAACATGGATGAGCTTGGAGAAACTTATGTTGAGTGAAATAAGCTAAGCCGAGAGAGCAATACCACATGTTTTCACTCATATGTAGAAGCTAAAAAAGTTGATCTCATAGAGGTAGAGAATAGAATAGCGGTTACTAGAGATTAGGGCAGTGGGGATGGAAGGAGAGAGGGTGGTTAGTTGATACATAATTGGAGTGAGATAGGAAGAATAAGATCTAGTGTTCTATAGCAATAGAGGGAGACTACAGTCAGCAACAAGGTACTGTGTATCTTTAAATAGCTAGCCAAGATAATGTTGAATGTTCCCAACACAAAGAGGTGACATATGTTTGAGGTAATGGATATACTAAGCACTCATATATGATCATTGCACACAGTATGAATGTGCCCAAATATATTGTACTCCATAAGTATATACAGTTATCATGGGCTAATTAAGAAAAATAATTTTTTTAAAAAAGAGAGAAATAGAGAGTAGAATAGTGATGACCAGAGGTAGGAAAAGGGAGTAGGGAGTGGGCAGGGAAAGGTTGGTAGACTGGTACAAAGTTACAAGGTCANCCCCGCCCCGCGCATCGCCCCGCCCCGCCCGTCCGGCTAGCTGGGAACCGCGCCCCGAAACGGTTAGACTTCCGTGAGTACTTCGAGCCAAAGACTTCCAGATCTCCGGGACTTGGCTCTGCCCACACCAGCTAGAAGCATTCTCCACTAGGGCTGTCCTGCTTTCCATCCGCAGCCCCCGCACCGAGAACGGTACCCTCGTTACCAGGTGTAGCTCACTTATCCTGTGCCACAGCCGCCCACTGAATGGAGATGAATCAGCTAAGGTCAATCTAGTCCAGTCCCCACCTCCAGACAGGAGCTCGCTCCGAATACAGGGGACTTACCCTACGTACAGTATATTCAAAGATATTTGGAAATAACAGCTTCAGGAGAAGCGGATGGGGGGTGGGCGGGTAGTGCAATTACTGAACTGATTTTTTTCCCCCCCTGAGTACACGTAGTGCATATTCTTTTTATTTTTAATTGAAAAACCGAACACAAAAAGTCTATCAAATTTCTTATCTTTATATGCTGCACCTAAAGCAATACCTGAAATAGTTGCTATTCAATAAATATTCATTGAATAAATCAATGAATGGAGTGCAGTAGGGGAAAATAAGAAATTTGAAATCAAAAGCCCTGATTTGAGTCTGGAACTGTCCTAATGCTAGTTGTGCAGTTGTAAACCTTTATACAAGCCACTTAGTCACCATAAGTCTCCGTATTTCCGTCTGTAAAATGGGAATAATATTATCCACCATCCCTATCTCAGGCAGGTAACAGAGTCAAAATAAGGCATGTGAAAGCATTTTTAAAACTGCTTAGCATTAAACACATGAAAACTTGTTTTTGCTGTTCTCAACTCTTACCTTATCCACTGAGAATGTGTGTAGGTGGTGGTCTAGGTTACTCTCCAGAAAGTGCTGTTTGGGGTGGTGCTGAAAATAGATACCGTCTCCATCCTCTTTGGTCAACACCCTTAATGGCTATGAGGCATTTTGGTTTCTTCATTCATTCAACAATTATTTATCAATGGCTGCAGTATGCTGAGCATTGCTACTGGAAATGCGTCAATGAGCAAGACAGACAAGATTGTAACACTTAGGGAGCTTTCTTCCTAATAGGAAAGAGAAGCTATGAACAGGAAAATAAAGTACAATTTGTGATGTGTGCTTTAAGGAAAATCAGTGGAGTGATGTAGTATGGATGGT